AATCCTTTTAACTAACTGAGTTATAAGTAGTGTTTAAAATATTGATATAGGTAGAAATAACAACATATAAATTTATGAAAATATCAACATGCACATGGAAATATCAATATGAATTGCCTTCATGGAAATTATGAAAATTTGCAATGGAAGGGGTAATCAACTCATTCAGATTTAGCGAAACTAGAGAAAATTTTCTCAAAAAAAAAAAAAAATTAAAAGTTCGAATCTGCAATGGATTCCGGCAAAATTTATGTAGTGAATCCGTAAAATATCGTTGATATTCATTGATTTTCATATATCTCGTCGATATAAGGTGAAGTTTGCATTTCACCCCCTTTCATATAGATCCTTAATTTTTCAAATATTTCAATGAAGATATCCATAATTTTGTGGATATTTTAAACACTAACTGCACGCCATTTTGCGTTAATTAGTTTGTAAATAAGTTGTTTTTGGGTAAGTAAGTTACTATATAATTTCTTGTCTATTTTAAATAATTAAGTGTAGGACAATTTTTATTTTTTAATAAAAGATATTATCTATATCAAGGAAAAGAGGAATAGGTTTAGCTTCACAATGAACTAGTAATAATATGATTCAAACTCACATTTGGAAAGAATTGAATTTAAAAACTTCTCACTTATAAATGAAGAAAAATACTACTAAATCATATGCATAACAGGTTTTTAAAAACAGAAGATTGAGTTGATTTGATGTTCTGGTCAACGAGTAGACTCAAATTATGGCGTGCCGATAGATTGACTTGAGTTGGCTGACAAAACAGGCTCTGGTAATATTTTTATGTTTTCCTCCCAAATAAATTAAAGATAGGCCAACAATATAAAATGATTGCCAACAACTCAAAATAGTCTCTCAAAGCGACTTTGTGGGCTTTAGGTTAGCATGAACATACCTTTTTTTCCCTCGCAATTTTATCCTCAATTAAAAGCGGGTAAAATATTATCTCAATTGTTAATTTGATAGGAAAACTAATAAAAAGAATTTCAAAATTTTAAGTTTTAACGATAAGGATAAAATAAAAAGTAAAATGAATAGTACCAAGATTGACTTTTTAATATAAAAATGTGATTTTTCATTAAAGTGAACAGTATCATGAGCTTTTCGTTAAAGTTCCTTAATTTGATCTATTTGATGACAATTGTCGTTTCAAAGTAGACTTCTTCAACTTCATAATGAGGAAGTGATTCAACTACCGATGTGAGATTTTGTCATAAATTATTTACAATATTGTCTATTAAAAATGAAACGAATGTATCGAATACAAAGGATGACACATTTAAACCAGTAATGGAGTGGCTCAGGTAAATTTAATTCGCATGTATAAAAAGCATGTTGCTTGAGTTTGAAATCTAAAATACTATTGTTGTAGTGATGTGAGTTTAATAAATAAGATCCCATTATTTCATAATCCAAAATTCATATTACATCTTCAAATTCTACAAGTGATACGCAAACAAAACTTCCATATTTTAAGTGAACAAATAAACATACATAAAGAAAAGGTTAAAAGACAATATAATTAAACGCATGCTTAAATGGTTAATTACTACGTTCATATAGTCTGTTTATTCTGTTTATGTTGTTAGTTAGTGGTGTGCTATGTGTTATATTATTAGACCGCTAATCACCTCTAATATTTTCCTTGTTAATTGACAACATTGTGTAGTATTTGTGCTATGATTTATGAACAGAGCTGAAGTTGAAGGGTTCATGTTTAAGAACTCATGTCCGAGTTAATTAGCCATAGCTTGACTCAGTTTATAACCCAACCACACGTCAATTGAAAGTTGAGCTTTCCTTGTTAGGAAAAATTTCCTCAAACAAATCCAAATCATTAAATCAGAAAATAAAAACTTCATAGATAAAAAAACACTCTCAAAGTACCTAATAGGAAAGGGTTCGGGGCTTTAGGTTGGCATTAGTATATTTTCTTTATTTTATTTTTTTTTGCAATTAAAAGTGGGTAAAATCTTATTTTAGCTGTTAATTTGACCTAACGACAGTTGTCATTCTACACCGAACAACTTCAATTTTATAAATGATAAAGTGATTTGGCTACCAATGTGAGATTTTGTCATAACTTACATATAATATTGTTTTTTTTTTTTTTTGTTAAGGGGGACAACTGGTGGCAAGCCATAGTTATTTACCCTTTTCAAGGGCCGGAAATATAATATTATTTGTTAAAAATGAAATAAATGTAGAACATAAAAGAGGACACATATCACTTTGAGTAATGTTCTCTTATACCTTCCACTATGGTTCATGTGAATTTGATTCCCATATATAAAAAGCATGCTTCATAAGTTTTGATTTTTTTATAATTTGCTATAGTTGTGTGAGCTAGTAGATGTGACCTAGTAATTTATAGGAATCAAACGCATGAAACATGTATAATACACTTAACAATCGGACTAACTCTTATTGGACTCAAAATTTCTAGTTCATTGTAGAAGGCCTTACTAGACAATCATATATCTCATGAATGACAATTACATATATTAATTCAAATGTATTTTCACCTTACTAATCTTATTGATTGATAGTTTTACAACATAATAGTATCTCATGTCTCAACACCTAACCTATGCATAGCGCAAAGGTTGATAATCTTGCTAATTTGTCAAGATATATAGTAAGAAAACATTACCTTGTATAGTGCAATTTTATCTTATCTTGGATGTATACTCGTAAAGTGCACTATTTAGTGTCATAAAATTGAATTAAAAAACCAGATTACGTATTCAAATTTCATAAATGATATGCGACAAAAGTTCCGTTTTTTTTACTTGAATAGATAAAAAAACAAGAACGAAAAGTTAAAAGAAAACAGAAGTAGACATATGTAAAACGTTTTCCGCTCAGATAGTCAATTACTGCATTCATACAATTTGTTTTTTCCATTCATGTTGTCGGTTAGCGGTGCATTATGTGCTATATTATTAGGCCGCTAATCACCTCTTATCCTTTGTTAATTGACAACATTGTGTGTGGCATTTTTGCTAAGATTTCTGAACTGAGTTTGAGCCCTAAGTTGAACCCTTCACCAAACTCCATGCTTAAGAGCTTATCTCCGAGTTAGCCATAGCTTGACTCAGTTGACAACCGAAAGTCGAGCCTTTCCTCTTTGAGAAATTCCGCAAACAAATATTTCAGAAAATCCCTCCAAATGATTATTTACAGAAAATATTAAAAACTTAACAAATAAATCCACCCAAAACAACCCTCACTTGCCAACACGCGCCTCAAAGCGCGTAGGACCGTACCACGTAACAATCCCTATGGGCTTCGCCATTCTAGCTCGGAAGTTCGTAAGGACACCAATACGATTTGTCGTTTAAACCACTAGTAACAAAACCCCCCGCAACTTTCACGTACGTGGCAGCATATCATTGGCTAACCCCTTGGCCATGTAGCAAATCTCGCCCGGTCTCAAAGCAACTAATAGGAAAGGGTTCGGGGCTTTAGGGTTGGCATGAATATATTTTATTTATTTATTTATTTTTAAAAGTGGATAAAATCTTATCTTAACTGTTAATTTGACCTAATGATAGTTGTCATTTTGCACCAAAACTTCAATTTTATAAATGATAAAGTGATTTGACTACCAATGTGAGATTTTGCCATAACTTATATATAATATTGTTTGTTAAAAATGATATAAATGTAGAACGTAAAAGAGGACACATATTTCTTTCACTAATGTTCTCTTATACCTTCCACAATGGTTCATGGGAATTTGATTCCCATATATAAAAAGCATGCTGCGTAAGTTTTGATTTTTATAATTTGCTATAGTTGTGTGAGCTAGTAGATGTGACCTAGTAATAAATTTATCGGAATCAAACTCATGAAACATGTAGAAGGTCTTACTAGACAATCGTATATCTCACGAACGACAATTCCATATATTAATTCAAATGTATTTTCACCTTACTAATCTTATTGATTGATAGTTTTACAACATAATATTATCTCATGTCTCAACACCTAACCTATGCATAGCGCAAAGTTTGATAATCTAGCCAATTTGTCAAGATATCTAGTAAGAAAACATTACCTCATATAATACAATTGTATCTTATCTTGGATGTATACCCGTAAAGTGTTCTATTTAGTGTCATGAAATCGAATTCAGAAACCAGATTATGTATTCAAATTTCATAAATGATATGCGACAAAAGTTTCGTTTTTTACGCGAACATATAAAAAAACAGAAACGAAAAGTTAAAAGAGAGCAGAAGTAGACACATGCAAAACGTTTTCCGCTCAGATAGTCAATTACTGCATTCACACAGTCTGTTTTTTCCATTTATGTTGTCAGTTAGCGGTGCATTATGTGCTATATTATTAGGCCGCTAATCACCTCTTATACTTTGTTAATTGACAACATTATGTGTCGCATTTTTGCTAAGATTTCTGAACTGAGTTTGAGCCCTGAGTTGAACCCTTCACCAAACTCCATGTTTAAGAGCTTGATTCAGTTGACAACCGAACCTCACGTGTCAAGCCTTTCCTCATTGAGAAATTCCGCAAACAAATATTTAAGAAAATCCGTCCAAATGATTATTTACAGAAAATATAAAAAACTTAACAAATAAATCCACCCAAAACAACCCTCACTTTTTCCCCCAAAAAAAAAAAAAAAACGCTCACTTTTCAACACACGCCACAGAGCGCGTAGGACCGCGCCATGCAACAATCCCTATGGTATCGCCATTCTAGCTCGGAAGTTAGTAACCACACCACTACGACTTGTCGTTTAACGCACAAGTAATAAAACCCCTGTAACTTCCACGTACGTGGCAGCATATCATTGGCCGACCCCTTAGCTATGTAGCAAATCTCGTCCGCTCTACCGAATAGCAGGAATCTTTAGTGCCTCGTGTCAATCATTTCAGGCTAGAGTCTGTCACGCGCGATGGTGGCGCGTGGATATTTCGATTTCGTACCTCATTAAACGGTCCAGAGAAAACACTCAGACCCTCTCCCTCGCCCCCCCTATAAAATCGTATTATTTTCTCTCTCTAAGGACACAACGACTTTGCTTTCTCAAATATATTTTTCCTGGGTTTTGGCCTCCTTCGAAATCAGCTTTCGTGGTCATGAAACCTTAGCTTCTATAAAACCCCAGGTACAACCCTCTCTCTCTCTAGTTTTCATGTTCAACTGCGTGCGTGCGAGTTTTCTCTCTCTAAAAGCAGAGAGACTCAGAGGCAGCGGCTGTCTCTGTGTGTGAGAGAGTGTGTGCATCAGTCTTTGTTTTTTATTTTTTTTGTTTATTTTCAATCCAAAGCTTGCAAATTGGTGCTAAAACTCCAAGACCCATTTTTCTCAGGCTTGCTCTCTCACGTGGGTTCGGCTTCAAATTTCGTTTCCTTCTCCATGGAGGTATGGAGATATTAAAAAACCAAATCTTTTGTTTTCTGGGTTTCTGTTTTTATTCATTTTACGATTCAATGCAGTTCTCTCTGTGTTTTTGAAGGGTCATTGTTTGGTAAATAAGTTGAATTTGATGGGATCGTTTTGGAATTCTCACTGGTTCTGTGGTTTTTGCTTGCCGGAATGCTTTCCTGTTCTTGCTGTCGTTTCTTTCTATGTTGGGTTTTATTTATTTTTGTTAAAGTTTATAACTTTTTGGTTTTTTTTTTTGTTTTTTTGTTATGGTTTTGGTTGTGATTGTTTGTTGTTTTGATATGAATGTGCTTAATGGGTTTTGGGATAATTATCATAAAGTTTCTGCGTTTTTGTAGTTTCGTCGATTTTAGTCTGGATTCGAAAAGGGATCTGGATTGATTTATTTTGTTGTGGGTTTGCTGCTTAATACTTTGTTGCTTGTATTTCTTCTCGTTTATGCTTAAAAAAAATTAGAGCTGGGTTTTTATTTGTTTTTCGGAAAATTACCATAATTGTTACCCAAAAACAAAAATTATTTACGGTCAGTTGAGGTTCATGAGTAAACTTTTTAATATAATAAATGCAAGAATTTTTTTTTTTGTTTGCGTTTATTTCCGATTTACCTGTTGTTTATTTGGAACATAAAGTTGGTCTTCGTCAAATTTTGACATTGGTGTCAATTTGTGTTGTGGAAATTTCTTCTCTCTTTCTCTCTGGGATTAATGGTTGACTAGGATTTATTGCTGTTAGAAATCAATGTTTAACCTTTGGCGTGTTTAAGACCAGTCTGCTGCATGTTTTACCTTTGGCGTGTTTAAGACCAGTCTGCTGCAATAGTAGCAGCTCAATTGGTTTTGGACTGCTTTCATAACCCGAACCGTCATTTCTTGGTTAGTCTTTTTGATCCTGGAAACATGAGCTTTTAAGATTGGATACATTGTACAGGCTCAACAGAATGAGAAATTTAGAAAGGGTATTTGAAAGTGTAAAATTGGAATGGATTTTGTTAGAGTAGTAGCATTTTTTTAGCATGCAATACTCTTCCTCCTCGTTTTCTATCTTTTTCAGTTGGTATCATATTTTTATAATGGTATCAAAATGTGATCAGGATCGCAATGCACGATTTCATGTTGGCATATGGCATTCATAATTTATGAAATTTTTACAAAGTATATGTCTTTTGTATTGTTTGTTGAACAAAAGCAAAAACTTTGATCCTTTTGCTGTCTCAGAAATCCCTTTTAACAATACCAGTTCCTCTAACCACCCCCCCCACCCCCCCCCCCCCCCCCCCCCCCCCTCTCTCCTCTCTTCTCCTTCTCGTATGACAGATGGATTCAGTTGAAGGAGATAGCCATGGGGATATCAATGACGATGAATCAGCGGACCATTCATTTCCTCCAGAAGCTTTTGATCCATGTGGTGTCTCTGGTGACCCTGAGCTAGGTCCTAGAGTTGGAGATGACTACCAGGCTGAAATTCCCTGTCTAATAGCTGTTTCTGACTATGTACGGCTTTTAAAGAACTCAATTGATGCAGAAATTGCTGGTGGTAGTCCCCATGGTTTAGGAATGGGGTTACCCATACCAGTAATGTGGATCAATGAGGAATTTGAGAGCAACAAATATGAACATGTCAAAGAGACCCTGATTGTTTCAGAAAGTGACAACATAAAATGCAAAGCTGAGCCAATGGATGTTAAGTTCAAGAATGGGATAACATCAGGTGAGTCAGAAAAGTTAGTATTGAAACAAGAACTGATGGCTCAAATGCATAAAAAACCTGGAGGTGTGTATTGTCCGGTTCCTGGTTCTGCAGGTGACAGCTGGAGTGGCATAGAAGAAGCCAGTTTTCTTCTTGGTTTATATATCTTTGGAAAGAGACTCGTTCTGGTGAAGAAGTTTGTCGGGAGTAAACAGATGGGCGATGTATTGTCATTCTACCATGGGAAGTTTTACAAGTCTGACAGATACAAGAGATGGAAAGAATGCAAAAAAATGAGAAGCAGAAAATGTATATTTGGGCAAAGAATTTTTATGGGGCCAAGGCAACATGAGTTGTTTTCTCGTTTGTTTTCTCACGTGTCAGAAGAGTGCCAAAATTCTTTGCTCGAGGTAATTACATCTCTAGGAATCTTTAATGCTAGTATTGATCTGTACTGTAGATTGAATTATATCAGCCTGTCTGCACATAGACATCAATCTGCAAACAAACAAAAGTGTGCTAAACTAGTTATTTTGTTTTCCTGAATACTTCAATTCAGATTCTGCGTAGACACTCTGCCAACACTGTTTAAGTTATTATTTGATTACTAAAATTCTTGGCAGATTAGTATCGCTTTAATTGTTTAACACTTCGTACATGTTTCTCACAAAGCCCCTATATGCCTTCTGTAAGTTTGCTTTCCCTTGGAAAACTACTGACTTTCCTACACACCACCTGTAATATTGCTTTCCTGTAGCCTATATGTGGACTTGATCGGTAAACTCAAATTTATGTGTTTGTTACTGTAGCGATTAGTTCCACTTCTAGAGATTACTGCCTACTCATTGAATTTAGCTGTGTTTTAGCTTGTATGGTTATGGATTATGAAAATACTGTACAAACGAATTATAGATGAGTATGTACTGATCTAACTGAGATATATATATATATATATATATATATATTTTTTTTTTTTTTTCTCTGATGAAGATTGATGTATCTCTAATTTGCTAACGTGTAACTTGTGATTCACCAACAGTAACATATAAATTTGATTACGCAAAATGAAAACCGTTTGTGCAGATAATCATTTATAGGACAGGAGGGATATGTCTTGGATTTTGCTATGATTGTTTGTTCATTTATTTGCTTGTATCAGGGTGCGGTTCCAATAATTTTGTTTGTCCAATTCCAGGTCTCAAAGACATTTGGGGAAGGAAAAATTTTACTAGAAGAATATGTATTCATTTTAAAGGCTAGAGTTGGATTGAATGCACTTGTAGAGGCAGTGGGAATTGGTACGGGAAAGAAAGATCTCACAGGCATTGCGACAGAGACTTTAAAGTCCAATCATGTTGCTCCTGTTCGCCCAGAAATACCAACTGGCAAAGCATGCTCCTCCCTTACACCACTAGAAATAGTCAACTTTCTAACTGGGGGCTTCCGGCTAAGCAAAGCCCGCTCAAGCGATCTCTTTTGGGAAGCTGTTTGGCCTCGTTTGCTTGCAAGAGGGTGGCATTCTGAGCAGCCTTATCCGGGTTTCTCCACTGGTTCCAAGAATTCATTGGTCTTTCTTATCCCTGGTATTAAGAAGTTTTCAAAAAGGAAACTGGTGAAGGGAAGCCACTACTTTGATTCGGTAAGTGATGTCCTGAATAAAGTTGCTTCAGACCCTGAGCTTCTTGAGCTTGAAACAGGAGCAAATAATGAAAATGGGTGGACAGATGAAACAAAGCTGGACGAACAAGACTTCCCAAATCAGCAACGCCACTGTTATCTGCAGCCTCGTACTCCAAATCGTAGTAGTGGAGATGTCATGAAGTTTACAGTTGTGGATACAAGTCTGCCTAATCGGAAAACATCCAAGGTGAGGGAACTGAGAAGCTTACCATTTGAATTGGACGCCTCCGCCTCCAGAAGTGATTCTGATGATGACGATGAGGATGCTTCTGAAGCTTCAACAGATAAATCTAATTCTGCTGATTCCTTGTGTTCACAGAGGATCCATGTTTCGAAGTCCATCCATTTGGGTAGAAGCGATGACAAATATTTTGAATATGATACTTCAGAGTGGGAGCATCAAGCTTCTTGTCAAGGTTTGACTACTGTGACTGCAGATCTATCTAAGAATGAGAACATTGGTATTGGCAACGACATGCGGCGCGGGAAAGCTGCGAAGTGCCAAAAGATCCAGAAAATGGTTTCTGAAAAGGAAAATCATGTGGCCCCTGTTTTAAAAAGACGTCGAAAGTTAGTTGCTTGTAATCACACAGATACCATCCCCAGCAGGAACCACTTCTTGCAAGGTCCCGTGTTACAGCAAGATGCATGCAGCTCTGAAGACCACCCTGAACTTAGTGAGAAAACTCCCTCTCAAGTGGATCTATCCGAAGAGAAGTTATCATCCACCAGTACTTTGTCTAGAGAAGCCAGTCCAGTTAATAATGGTGAAGGCAAACGTGGCGATAGTTTGCGCGTGGAAACATTTCATGAGAATCCTCAGTGCCGTACATTTTTTGACTTGAACATGCCCCCCTCTCTAGATGCTGAAACTGATGAACCTTTCACAATGACAGAAAGACAAGATGATCAAACAAAACAGGAACCGGATGCTGCTTCCCATTCAACGATGCCCTCTGAATGTGGGGATATTTCTGAACAGCAGCCTGCAATGAACTCTCGGAGACACAGCACAAGAAGCCGACCACTGACCACCAAGGTACTGGAATCTTTTGCTTATGGATTTTTCGACACAAAGCAGAAGCGGAAGAGTAGGGATGAATTTCCCCGAGACGACTCCATATTAAGGCCATCCAGGCGTGCTCGTACTAAGGTGGGAGCTCCCGACAGTTTTGATACTAGTCTCCCGGATTTCAGCATGCAGGAAACCGGGAGTGCTAACCCCAATAACAACGCTGACGGATACAGTGAACTTGACATGGGCTCCTAAGTCAGTTAGGTGCTGAAAATCCAACAAACAACTTGAAGAAAGAGCTTCTGCATATAACGGAGACTGCTGCTTTCGGCTGGGCTACTATAACCCATGATACACAGCAAAGGTAGCTGTCTCTTGATTCGTCTGCATTGTACATGGTGTTACATACAAAGTTCATAGGAAAGTCTGAGTATTAGCGTCATCTCCCGAGGCCATTACATCAGAGAAAGCGGCACAAATAACCGGAAAACCAATGATGAGAGATAAAGTTACATTCCTGCATTCAAATCGTAGTTGAAGTTCAACAGCATTTGATAAAATCGTTTACTTTCTCTCTTATGTACAATTTACTTTACAAGTGGTTGTCTTTTTTTTTTCTTTTTCTTTCCTTAGTTATGTGAGTTGCAAGACCAACTTATAGGGGGTGACTGTTGCATTCTGATCAAATGTAGTGAAAGTGAAACAAAAATTGTAATTCGATTTAGACTGGCGTCGACAGTTTCTCATCGGTTTACATCTGAAATTTTCGTAATGTGGAGATATTTGTGTAACGCATTGTTTGTTGACTGCCGAAAGCAAAAGATAAGTTGAGTGTTTAAGTTTCCTTAGAACAGTTTGCTTGCATGCTCATTGTTTCCTGAACTGGGAGCTCTTTAACTCGTACCAAAGACGAATTTAAATCACATTACTATTAACTCATTGTGAGGCTTAATCAATCTGACCTTTAAGTGTACATACTATCGTTTGTTCAAAAAAAGAAAAAAAAAGAAAAAAAAAAAAAAACTTATTATATCATATAATCCAAATTAGGAAACAAAACCGTCATTAAAATAAGCCCCTCCTGGGGTATTTTAGCCATTTCGTGTAGGACAATAGGACACGAGAGCACCACGCGCCGCTTCAGCGTGTGTAGCTCCGATCGTCTTCTTCCTCCTCTTCCAGACTTGCAGTATTCCCACCAAACCCTATTCCTCAAAAGTAAAAAGGGTTTTTGCATTTTAACCTGTTCTAATCTATTTTATCGGATTTTTATTTGATTTGGGAAAAATTAGAAAATAGAAAGCACAGCCGACACAATGGGTCAGGCGCTTCGCCGAGCTGCTGGAAGAACACGATCCACTTCGACCGTCGAGACGACGTCGTCAAAACCAAAGACCGTCGTCGTCGATCATCGGCCTCCTCCGGTTCCCCCCGAACGGCCCGAGATCTCCAAGGTCGGCGGCGCTATTGATTCTGGTATATAAAAGCTACCGCCTTTCTTTTGTCACTTGGCTTTACATTTTTCCTCAGCTCAGTTTAGTTAATTGACGGCGTCGTTTCGAATGTGTTTTGTTGGTTTCAGATGGCAGTGCAGGAACAGGAGGAGCAGTCGAAAATGTGCTTGAAGAGCGAGATCCAAATTACGATGCCATGCTCAATCAAATGGTGGGTAGGATCAAATCAAAGCCTGGAGGCAAATTGGAAATGGGTGAGGTCAGTTTTTCAAATTTTGGTTTTTTCATTTCGTGTCGTCCGTTTGGAACAATGTAGAAAGCACTTCCGCTGATAAGCGCTTTCAGCGCATAAACTAGCCAGCCCCACTTTGAATTTGAGACATTGTGTTGTATTGTAAATGTGTGATTTTGGGATTATTTTACAGGCATTTGTGGTGGAAAAGTATAAGAGGCCTCTACCAAAACTGAGGGATACGAAACCCGATTCCGGCAGTTATGAGGAGAGGCCTACTCCGCCGGGGACTCTGAATGTAGCACAGCTGCGCCACATCATCCTGCTGCATCAGGGCAAGGCTGAGGATCACAATGGCCGCATGGAGCCGGACCAAATTGCTGAAAAGTTCCGGGTTGATGTTGCCGAGGTTCGGAGGATCTTGCAGTTTGTATCACTGCCTCCGGAGGATAGCAGCGGCAATCAGAAGAACAATCGTTGAAGAAGGCACAGACAGATAGCTCCGTCGACCATTCTCCTTCGCAACACTGTCACTTCTAGTTGGATTTTCTGTTGAATAAGGATGGCTCGCATACAAGTTTGAAAATGTTATGAGAAATCATGTGAAATCTTTGTGATTCGGGGAATCCATACATTGGAAAAAACGTGTAGGAAATTTTGTACCTCGTGTTTGAGGCATTTCGATTGCAACACGAATTGAGAATCTTTTTACCTAAACTTCATGTCTGAGATTGTTCCAAATGCAAGGGAAAAATTCGCGTTTGCTTGTTATGGGTTTTATCCGCGAGTGCGGAAGGCGACTGTATTGGTACTTCGAGTCTTCGACCCCAAAAATACGTAAGAGGATGTAAATACAGTAACCAGATTTTTCCAGAGAGAAAGCATCGGTTCTTCGCAAGGCGTCAAACATGTTACCGTAAGCACGGTGCTCCGCTGGTTTCCGGCGTCCTGGTTGCCTCTGTAGTCCTTCAATCTTGCAAGGACCCGGTAAACAGAATTCATATGACCAACCATCATTGCATTAACATGGAAGCATTTTCATGCACAATTTTCTTCCCTTGAGGACAATTGTTGTATCCAGTTACTTTCAACAAAAGATCTAAAAATGTCAGGTTATTATTATACACGTGAGAGTGGGGAAGGGAGAACTGAACTTAAGACCTCTATTTCTGGGGTAAATGATCTTAACTACTTGAACCCTCCAAAACTAGCCAATGTGGTTCATGTCCTTGTGAGACCTCGTGACAAATATTTTCAACCAAAACAAGTATATATTGATTTGTTGACTCCACTGATAACCTACTAATCCATTTCCCAGTCAAATTTTTAACCCACGTCTAAGCATTCTAGATTATTGTTGACTCCACTGACAAATATAATCCCTTAATAAACGCTCATGATTTTAACTAAACCTCAACTCTCTATCTTCTCCTACTTTTCGAGAAATTTTCAAAGTGCTCGGTATTCAACTGAATACTCCATGTGTTATTATATTTTTTGTTACTCAATAAAGTTAAAAAAGTATATTGATTTTAGTGAATTAACACGGTATCATTTTTTTCATTTATTTAATTTTACTGAATTGAAAATTTGTATTTGATTTTGTGTGAATTCTATTTAGTTTTATTAAGATACTACGATAAGTAACCAACTAGTACTTTAATTTAGTAATATTCTTCTTTAGTAGTAAGAGCAACTCCACCGTTGCAAAGGTCCCCCCTGCCTATTCACTATTTAATCCACTCAGTGAACAGTAACCGCCCTTAATGAACAGTAACTGCCTTTTGCATCTCCACCTCTACATTGAATAGCCCTAGCAATAGGCACTAAAATATTAATATTTATTATTATTTATAATTAATATTATATTATTTAATTTGTATTATTAATTTATCTTTTTCGGAAATTCCTTCCTATCTCTCGAAACTTCTACCATTTGTTTTCTTCTTCCTTCCCACTCTCTCACTCCCCTCTCCCTCGTTGTCTTCCCTTTTTTCTCCGACCGACCGTCTCCCTCCCCGCTCTCTTTTTCTCCCTCATTTCTCCCTGTTTTCTTCCTCAAAGGAGGAAGCTACAGATTTTGCACCTAATTTGGATCGAAAGACCAGCAGGTCTTTCTTCTTGTTCCTCAAAGCAAAGAGAGAGCACTGCAAATTCGAAATCACAAATCAAATTTCTACTATAATTTATGTTTTACAACTCCAAATTTGATTTTGTTTTTTTCCTAAAAATTTCTGGAGAAGAGCACTGCAAGGTAATTGACTTCTGGGTTTACCGCAGATTTTGATATTTTGTGTAATTGGGATTTATAAGCTTTAATCTTTGAATTGAAGTGTTGTATGGTGGATTAAGCTTATTGGAAGCTTAACTGGACAAGTTCATCGCTAAAGGGTTAAATTTTGTTCTTTTCGCTGTGCATGCTTTCTGTTTCTTTTTTCCGGAATCCGGCGAGCTCTGTGATCAATCTCGACCACAGTTGTTACTCACAGCGGTAGAATCTTGTTCCTTTTCATTTTAGCATCATTTTTGTGCTTAAATTACAATTTTTAATGGAGTTTTAAGTCGAGATCGGAATCGGGATGAATCCCTGCCAAATATTCCGGTGTTCTCCCTTGAGGGTTCCGGTGACCCCATGTTTTAAATCATGGTTGACGTCAGCCTTGCGTCACGTGGCCTTCGAGCTCTTGGGTTGGCAACTTATGCCAGGTCTCTCCCTCAGGCCCACTCGGGCTCCATCGCTAACACACGCTGGACCTCTCCACTCGGGCTCTCTGGCCCTGTTTGAGAGCCAGTCCATCGAGCAATAGCCCACGGTAGAACTGCTCTAAGTGAAATATCTTTGGTTCAACATGGAGGCGATAACATATTGTAATGGTATTGAGTTGAATACCTGGTTAATGATTGCTCATTATGCGCCCAACCCAATTCTCTCTTCTTAGAATATAAAATTATTGTATATAAACAGATAATTTAACTATTTTAAAAAAATAAAATATAGCCTGCTTCGAGGTAGGTGTTGCGGTTTGGCTTGCTTTTCAAAGAGTTCTATATATAGATTCTTTTTTTTTCTTCCCCGTTGCATTTACATTTCAAAGTCTTTCTTTATTACTATTCTCTTGTATTGGAAGACAAGTTTTACAAGTAACTAGGAAGAACGAATCAATTTAGATGATGGACTTCAGTGATGCATAAAACATTCATCTTTGGGATGCAAGTGCGTCTTCTTTTTTTTTTTTTCTTTTTTTTTTTTTTTTTCTTTTCTGGTCAATGACTTTTTCTTTTTCTGACTCGATCTGCTTTGGGATGCAAGTGCTTCTTCTTTTTCTGTTTTTTTTTCTTCTGGTCAATGACTTCTTTTTCTCAACTCGATCTGCTCTAGAACTGCAGCTTCCATTTCCCTTCTTCTGGGGCTCAAAACAAAGACCAGCCAACCCTAAACATTTCTATTAGGTCATCTGTTGTTCGCTACTTTTAACAACCATCACTCATTCTATTCGTGTTAATATTTCAATACTTAATTTAATAATGAATGAGTTATCAACAACATTAGCCAAAAATATATCACATAATACTTAAATTAATCACAACTAGAAATAGTTTTACTTTAAAGACATACAAATTAAACTTACCCAGAAGTAAACATATGTGGAGTACTACCATCCCTTTGAGTAAACTTGAATCCCCTTTTACATCTGTAAGGTTGTGACCAGTAATAATTTTGCTAAAAAAAAAAAATTAGCCACCCTCCTTGTCTCCTTGACTTACAATAACTAGTAATTTACACTAAATCCTAATTAATTTTTTTTTTAATTTACTTGTAAAAATATAACTAAAAGGCACTTTTAGAACACCAAAAGCGATTCCAATAATGTTTGACATAAAAGGTTAGAAGTCCTTTATGCTTCTTCATGAAACACTTCAATTCCGAGTTTTCCACAAAGCATTTGTATTTTTATTAAAAGTATCAATTTTGTCATGCCTCGGTCCTGGTATACGTTCAGGATTGGCACGTAACGTCACCAAATATCTGTATATCTAACATACCCCGCCTCCAGGATATGTACAAGGCAAAATTCAAGATTCAAATTGCGTAGTAATTTTTGTATACTTTATGACTGCATCTAACCTCCTCGTTAGACTGCCTATGTACCCTTGATATGGATCAAACCATTCGTAGTTCACCATTTGTTAAACTCTAAACTTTTCGGAAAATTCTTCTAGTAGAAAACATAAAATACCACGCTACACATCAATCATAAGCCAAACACCATTTGTCAGCATGCCATTCACATAGACATATGCTTTCCAACATCATTCCACAATCACATCAATCATTAACACATATCATATACCGAAATGCAAGGCTAGAGTGACACAGTTCGACTGAAGCCTACATCTTTGAAGCTGAAATCAAATCCAAGGAACCAACAAGTCAAATGGTGCGATTTCGGACAACTCAACAAAATTCATCAATATTGGGTTCCGGACCACTTAACGGAACCAAAACACCAAGTAAGATTCTTGACCACTCAACCGAATCCAAATCAAGATACGATTCCGAACCACTCAACGGAATCGCGGAGTAGAAGGGATTTCGGACCTCTCAACGAAATCTAAGTAGATACGATTCCGGACCACTTAACGGAATCTCGGAGTACAATGCATATCGAACCACTCAATGAAATTCAAACTGGATACGATTCCAGACCACTCAGCGGAATCCAGACGGAGCAGGGAACCAGACCAGACCACTCAACAGAACCCTAGCAGATACCCAGTTCCGGATCACTCAACGAAACCGAGCAAAGGACTAAGGACATAACAACAGTTTAACGAAAAGTGCTCAATTTACAAAGGCTCAATGAAATGAAACAAAGCACAAGTACTAAATTTAGAACAAGTCAACGAAGCGAGAAATGAAACAATGAAATGGGTTATGAAACAAGCTTCAGAGCAACAAACCCTATGGCAATGGGTTAACAGACCACTACTAGCCCTCACATTTCATCACATCATACCAATCATGCAATTCAAATCACATTTCAAATATGCACATCAAATTACTTTTCATCGAACCATTCAACAAGCTCTTCAAACCACATTTCACAGATATCATCACTACACGAGTCAAATCACGTTTAATAAACATAGATCAATGACTAATCACATTTCAATAGATTCACATTATAAAATCAAGTAATATTCACAAAGGATACTGAATACGAACTCAGGGTGATGACCATATCACATATCTTTAAGTCACTCATTATCCAATATAGGCCAACTAGACTTCACTTAGTCTCTAGTGGTACTAATTTTAGTATTTAGAACGTTTCAAGACATGTTGCTCAAAAGTCAACCATCGGTCGACGATAGGGTCCACATCCTTACGTAATTTGATTCGGAAGATCTACACATCGGATTTTGGATTCGCAACTTCCTAAGGTCCTCATTATGCTCATAGAACAACATACTAAAATTTCATCGCGATCCGATGGTCAGATCTTTGCCAATTACAAATTCAGGTGGCGGTCAACGTTTAGTTTTACAAACTTAGAAATTCAATTTGGGAAGATCCGTAGTTGAATTCCCGATCCGTCAGTTTCTAATGTCCTCAAGCATTATATACTATAACATATTAAACTTTGGTGACGATCCAACGGTCGGATTGTCGATTCATATGATGACCAAGTGGCGATCTCTATCAAAACTATAGTCATATGACGAGATTTCGTCAATCGGACATCACATATGGAATAAGGATATCCACATTAGTCTAGGAAAGGTAGGTGGGGTCTTGGCTCAAAAGCCGCTGCACACGGCGGCCGACTGCCCAGATTCATCGAAAAATTTTGCCTAACTCCAAAAATTACGCAATTTCACAGAAATGTAGAGCAAGTCAAGAAGAGCAATTTTCATACTTGGGCCAAAGTCCAATTCGGCCGGGAAACCCCTGAAATCACCCTCGATCTGCCGGAAACCTTAGAATTGGGTGTTCTTGATTTGACTTTAAACAAGCTCTGACGCCTCAACCCACTCATGGGCTTTGTTCTTGGACTCAAGAGACACCTGAGGATGGTGGTAGTTGATGGAAAACCCTTCGGAATGGGGCGGATCGCCGCCATACACCCATCGAATTCTCGGGTTCGATTTCCACGAATTGGAGCCAAATTGGCTCAGGTTTTTGGTGGACATGAAAAGAGGGGAGGTCGGGTAGGTGTTTGGTAGGGGTGGAAGGTTGTAAAATGCTGAAAAATGGAGGGAAAACCGTCGAAAAAAGTCACCAGAATTGGGTTGGGTCGCAGGTGTAATGAGTTGGGGTGATTCCATGCCTCTCGCCTCTTTCCCTTCCCCTCATTTCTTCTCTCCCCCATTGGTCACTTCTCTTTCCTCTCTTCCCCATTCGCCCAACCTCCCTCATTTTCCCCCTTCTCTTTTGTCCATCTCTCTCCTCTCTCCTCCACTCTTCATCACAACTGTCCATGTGGCTCAATCAGATTGCTCCAGAAAATTTGGAGTCTTCTAGAGTGAAGGTTAAATTTACTAAAATGACCTCGACTTTAAACGTTAATATCTCATTCATTATAACTCCAAATTACAATATGTTTACGCTCACGCGCTCATATCGACAATTACTACCCAAATACATAAAGGAAAATGGAAAAATACATACGCATCAAATATGTCCTCAAAAATTTTGTTTAGTCCATTAAGTGCGTTTTCGTCCTTTTACTTAAATAAATTTATGCGCCTCAAATATAAACGCATCGAAACTACGAATAAAAATACAAAATACGTAATTTTAAACAGTGAAATCCAGGGACGGGATTTCACAAATGTGCTTCTAAATTTCAATAGAAGCACCACTTCTGAATAAGTGTATTTTTTAGAGAAGTATTTACAAACAAGCCTTAAATGTTTGCTAGAAAAGATCATGAATAATACTTGTATTCCCTTTTAGGGATAGACTCATTCCCACTTGCAAATAACGCAACTTCATCTTAGAGATTTCATAATCAGAACCGTTCAATTTCTCAAATTTCATTGACAATCATCCGTACAAAATCATTAGAATGGGAAATTGTTTAGTCATTCAAATGTATCAAATAAATAAACGAGTAACCATTAATATGTTACTTGGTTGTTACACCATTGATTTATTTGATATATTTTGGATGACTAAATATAATCTCCAATTGAAATAATTTTTTGCATGGATGATATTCTTTTATAAGAATGATCTTCAAATGAAGATTAAGAAATTGAATTGTTTTAATTGTGAAATTTCTATAATAAAACTACGTTATTTGAAAGTGAGAATGAGCGTATCTTCAAAGAGGGAATGCAAGAATCATTTAAAGATGATATGTGGTGTGGAAGATTTCGGCTTGCTTCTAATGAAGGCGATCTCTTATTTTTAAAACAATTATTAATTGTGAAGATATTATATTAAGCATCTGATTAAGCTAGTGCACCAAATGTTCCCAGATGTGATTCACCCTTCGCCAAGCGCTGACCTAATCTCTCTGTGTTGATTAATTAGTGTTTACTGTTTCACAAGTGGTGAATTGTTTTCGTTGTTAAAGTTAAACAATTCTGAAAAAGATTGCTAGTAGCGAAGTCTTACCGAATCACTCATAATTAGTCTTTTTTTTTTTTTTTTTAAGGATTTATAGAGACAGTCACGATTAATTTTCTAATTTTTAGTTTTACAGATCGCTTACTAAAACGTTAGGAAACTTCGAACTTAAAACTTTATCTAGTGAAGAGAACATTCCAAGTAATATTCGGATTCAAACACCCTTCCCCCTTAATATTTAATTTAGCATAAAATATTGCTTGCCTGGAAAAAAATAAAAATTTAGTGTTTGCTGTTTCAGACTGTCACCGATATATAATAAAGCTTCTGAGCTTTTCTCTTTCCCAACCCAAATCCCGCTCTCTCTCTCTCTCTCTCTCTCTCAAAAATGGAGCAGAGGATCCTAGAACTCGAACTCATCTCAGCCAAAGACATCAAAGACGTCAACCTCATATCCAAGATGGACGTTTACGCCGTCGTCGCCCTCCAGGGCGACGACGTATCTCGCGCCGGCAAGCAGAAAACCAAGACCAAAGTCTCCCAGGGATGCGGGACCCATCCCACCTGGAACTTCCACATGAAGTTCGTTCTCGACGAGTACCTAATTCAGCAGAACCGCATCTCCCTCGTCTTCAAGCTCGTCTGCCAGCGCAGCCTCGGCCACAAAGACATCGGCCAGGTCCTCGTCCCCGTTAAGGAGCTCTTGGATTCCGTAAAGGCTGACGCCGCCTCCATGAAGTTTGTCGCTTACCAAGTCAGAATGCCCTCAGGGAAGCCGAAAGGTGAGCTCGAGTTCTCATACAAATTTGGTGACAAAGTGGCGGCTTCAGAGGCGACGCTGACGGCGGCTTCGTCAAAGGGTAACGAGCCGGTAACGGCCTATCCGGTGGTTGGACCGTCAGTCCAGCCGGTGGTGGGGTATGGTGGATACCCACCTCCAGTTGGCACCTCTGCTGGGCCTCCGCCACCTGGATACGAGTACCCAGCACCACCGCAGGGATACGGGTACCCGCCGCCGCCACCAGGGTATGGGTACCCGCCACCGCCACCAGGGTATGGGTACCCGGGGCCGCCACCTGCCGGGTATGGATACCCACAGATGCAGCAACCCCAGCCGGAAGCAAAGAAGAAGAACTTTGGGATGGGGCTGGGAGCTGGAGTGTTAGGAGGGTTACTTGGTGGGATGCTAATTGGAGATATGGTATCTGATGGCGGTGGATGTGGTGGCGGTTTTTAGTTTTATGGATGTTTGCTTTTCAATTTTTTGTTACAGTACTAAATTTTCTTTTTGAATTGTTTTCTTTGTTTGATGGTATCATGATATATCATGTCACATGTTGAAAATTTCATCAGATTCACAAGAAGTCAATACCGAACTTTACAATGTTTGATATAGATAAATACCAGTTTGGTACAACTGGAATTTAAAAAAAAAAAAAAAAAAAAAAAAAAAAGGTAACAAGAAGTTAGGGTCTAAAATGTATTTAGGAAATATCTATAATCAGTTTTTTTTTTTTTTTTTTTTCTAATTATGAGTGGAAAAAAAAAAAACCTATAAGCTGAAGCAGCAAAAGTAAGCTTAAAAAAACTGGCTTATTTATTCTGAAACACAAGTATAGTGCCCATTAATTGAGAGTGATGATGAATAATTTCATAATTATTATGTTCGAGGATTACATGAGATAAAGCATTAAGAAATAGCATAGCCGCAAGTTTGATGAATGCATTTGGTTAGACTACTTTTCCATTGAACAACTTTTGGTTTGTTATTCTATTTAAAGTATGTATCAGTTGATTATGGTATTTTAAGTGGATCAACAATGTTGAGCACTTGTGCTAATGAATTTTAGCTATTTAGTTTGAAATATTTCAATATTTTGAAGTACCATGTTGTAGTAATTAGTATTTGAGATATGTATAAATCAGAAATAAATATATTTTCTTTTAAAGTATATTTAATAATTAACTTTTATTTGTCAAATAATTAAATTAATACAAATCTATTAATACACAGTCACATTTATTATATAAAAGTTTACGAAATACTCTAACAATGTTTTTTTTTTTTTTTGCTAAAATTATTTTTATAATATATTTTATCAAACACTTTACTGTTTTATTTTACAGTTACTTATGCAAATTAAAAGATAATTAATGAGCAAATATAATGAGAAATCGCCTAAGGAGAAATTATAAGTGTACAAATCATATCTTTAATCTGGTGGACTGTTGAGGGGTTAAAAGGTCCAAGTATCCAAAACATACAGAGAATTTCAGCACGAAAGCAGCTGATAGATACTACCGCCACCCTGCCCTTAACCAAATTTCCAAAACCCATCACAAAATATGCTCAATTTGGAGAAAACTCATCTTAATTAAGTCTTTAAATTAAATAATTTACATGGAGACTTCGTCCCATATCATGGACTGCAAAGATGGATCAATAATACTTTTATTCTAACATAAAGTTTTTGCCACGGGAACAAGTAGTCGAGATTAGAATACGATGGATTACAAGCGTCTTGATCATATTCCAACAAAATATACCTTTCTACTTGGTTTATCAGGGCCCTTATGTAAAAATCCTAGTTATTCTCTAATCAAAGGGTCCAGAAGGTCAGAGGGCCAAAAATAGTCCGAAAATCGTCTTCAATTGAGGGCTAGGTCAAATGGCTCGTGGGCCCCATGAGACAAAAAATGACCAAAGGGTCAATCAGTTGGCCCAACCCAGAAAGCCAGCCAGCCTTGGGCTGGGGCGAATTTTGAATGCAACAGTAACTAGCTTACGTCAGCTAGCCTTTACATTTGAATTTTTTTCTTTTTTACTTTTTTTTTTTTTTTTTTTTACATTTTTTTTAATTTAAAAATTCTATTTTTTTCCTATAACTTCCTAAGCCATTAAACAAAATTAAAAAATGTTAAAAAATATTCATTTTTTCCTATAAATTTAAGTTGTTGTAGTTTTTAAATTTAAGTTATTGTAGTTTCTAAATTTAAATAATAAATTATGTTTGGCCCTCGATTGGAGATGATTTTTTGTCACAGGGCTATGTTTGGCCTATGGCCCTCTGGCCCCTCGGTTGGAGATGGTAAGAAATATGGCTCTGCACTGTTCATTAAAATATTAATTTCTTGGAAGGCTATAGTGCTAAAACGAGCCATCTGGCCCTCCTTCGGTTGGAGATGGCCTTAGGGAAAAAAACAAAGAAAAACCCTAATGTGATGGATCCTAACCTTTGACTTCAGTGCCGGCGACAATCTTTCTTAATCTCTTCCTTTTCTTTCTCATCGTCTTTAGTAGTGGTTGTTTTGTCACTCTGTTAATGAGAGTCTTCATGTTTGTTGTCACTTTCTCCTTCGACTTTTGTAGTGGTTATGATTTACTTAGGCCATTTCCAACTGAAGGAGGGCCAGAAGGCTCTCTTTGTCCCTAATATTTTAATGAACATTGCATGGCCACCCTCTGGCCCTAATATTTTAATGAACAATGCATGACCATATTTATTACCATCTCCAAACGAGGGGTCAGAAGGCCATAGGCCAAACATAGCCTTGTGAAAAAAAAAACCATCTCCAACCAAGGGCCATAAGACCAAACACAATTTTACTATGGTTGCTTAAATTAAATTACCACAAAAAGTGTGAACTACAGCTAGTCAACTCTGGCGAGGAACCTCAATACAAAACTTCAAAAACATCAGTCGAGAGGAGTAACCACCAAACACTATTATAAACGCCAGACAAACGCATGCATGCTTTCCATCTCAGTCCAGTATGTTACCAAAAATCGGCTTCCAATAATCCCACAACTCCTTATGAACAAGTTCGCATTCATATGCTTGCAGATGGTAAGAAAGCTCCAACATATTCACCTACAAATACTATAGTCTGGCAAAACATGCCCACTTGAATAGGGCTTTGGTACCAATTGTATTGAGAAAGGGATGAGCAGAAGCATGCCCACTCTTAATATCATTCGTTGAAACTCTGTATACATACTGTACAAAAACCATAAGGAAATTAAACATTAAAAAAAAAGTACAACAACATAAACAAATCTAAACCCAAAACTAACCGCAATTCTCAGCTTGCCTATGTCCCAAGCCATAACACAAAATCTGCCTCTTTCCTTTCCAGTAGCCCATCCACTTTCTGTTAGCGTCTATACAAAATTTCGAATCTATGAAAATGTGGCGTTGAATGCAATAACTTTCTAGAAACTTTTCACTTGAAAGATATGTGTAACATGTACTTTACTTTCTCAACAGAGAAAACGAGAAGCAAATCTACAATGAGTGATTTATAAATTAATAAAACGTCTAGTCTGCCCACTACGCTGTTCTAGAAGTTGAGTAGTTAAATTCATCGCCTTCTAAATCAAATACAAATACAAATACAACTACAGTCATTAATAAAATAGAAAGTTCTCTTACAAATGCTGATAGCATATGTGATAACAAATCATATTCGTTCTTCGGCATTGCAAGACCAATATCAAATGTAAAGACTTTGTAATGCAGCAATTGTGCATCCAAGGTACTTTCACTTGGGCAAAGCCAAAAAAGTCAGATTACAAGGAATTTGAAAAGCACAAGCATTTCGTCTACAGTATGAAATTCCCCGAAGTTAAACTGTGTAATATTACACTACTAAAGGAGTAAACTCAAATGCAATGAAAGCAATGCATCCAAGCATTAGGTTTATACGATCAACTACTTTAAAAATAATTCAGGAAAGAGTTACGGCAATTTCCTTCTCATCAGGTAACCTTGGTAATTCATATATGCAAGGAGAATCAAACAAATGCACAACAATAAGAATTTCATAAAATTGCTAGCATCTTGGAAGCGCTTTTCCGAACACGCAATCTTACAACTAGGAAACGGAGAGTCGAGAGATGCACTGTATTCTAATCAACATGCATGGGTTCCGAGCCCCCAGCTGCTCTTCCATTCCATTTTTCTCTTCTTTCTCCTCAATTAAACTCATCCACCTGCAAGAACATAAAATACACCGGGAAATTACCCCACTTTCTTAAAGCGTTGTAATTCTACTGCTTAATGCACACAAGATATGGGGAATTCAATATAGCTCACATACCATGTGCAGGAGCAGAGCAAACTGCTTCTTCCTCAGCTCCAGCGTCGGCGAACTTGCGGTGTTCGCCGCCACGGCCTCTCCCCGCCCTAAAACTTTTCTTTCGCCAGCATCGGAACTGACCGGAGATTATGAGTCCGGCGGAAATTCGATTTCGAATTTGAAAAACCTTAATCTAATCTCTAGAAAGAAAAACCCCGTTCACAGCGGAGGATCCAGCTTCTGTTTGTGGAATCCAACGGCAAAGGTCGACGTTTGTTGGTTTTGCTCGAAGGGAGAGAAAAAAGATGAATCAGAAGAAAAAGAGGAGGAAGAGAGAAAGAAAGGCCGGCCCAGGGCTAGCTGGCTGGCCCAAAGAAGCCAGCCGGTTGGCCTGATTCCACTTTTTTGGCCTAGTGGGGTTTATGAGTCGTTTGGTCTAGCCTTCGGTTGGAGATGATTTTCGAATCATTTCGGACTATTCTCGACCCTCTGGCTGGATCAATTGGAGATGGCCTTATATAGCAACATTTGTTCAAAATTGAGATGGTGGTTTTGTGCTCGGCAAATGAGTACGAGGAGGAAGCTCGATATTTGGTTAAGATGATTCATATTAACTAATGAATGTATAATACCCTAAATCTATTGAACAGAGATATGTAAACAGAAATGAAGAAAGAAGAGAAGTCGAGAGGTTTTGTATTTCTCAGAGTAAAGAAGGTAAGAGTTTTCTCAGCCCTTAACATCACTTCTATATCAGCTATTTATACTAGCTAATATCACATTACACAATGACTCTATTACCCTTTCTAACAACTTCATTCTAACTAACTCAAACCAAGTAACTAACCAATGACACACTGCCATATGTCAACATGACTCTATGGTTATTACTCCCCCCACAAACTGAGCTGAGCTATGGAAGCTAAGTTTGCTGCAGAACCAACACCCAAGCCAAGAGACCTGCAATGTTTCTGAAAAATGGGACTATGCAAACCCTTTGTAAAGACATCGGCCACCTGATCATCTGTGGGAATATATTGAACCATAAGATCTCCTCGTTGAACCTTTTCACGCACAAAGTGATAGTCCGTGTCAAGATGCTTGATCTTGGAGTGAAAAACAGGATTTGAACTTAAAGCCAGGGCAGAAATGTTATCACAGTATATGAATGGTGGAACTGAGATGGATTGATGAAGATCCTTAAACACAGAACGAATCCAAAAAACATCAGCTACACAGTGAGCTAATGCCTTATACTCGGCCTCCGTGGAGCTTCGAGAGACTGTGGACTGCTTTTTAGACTGCCAAGAGACATGATTGTTACCTAAATAGACAACAAAACCTGTGATTGATCTTTTGGTGTTGATATCTGCTGCCCAATCTGAGTCAGAATAGGCAGTAATGTTGAATTCCTTGCTTTTGGTATAGTGTAAGCCAGAACCAATTATCCCCTGAATGTATCTTAAAATCCTTTTGACCAAAACCATGTGGACATCAGTTGGTTGTGCCATGAATTGGCAGACCATGTTCACTGAGTGGGCTATATCAGGACGAGTAAATGTAAGATACTGGAGAGCCCCAACAATGCTCCTATAGTGACTAGGATCAGACACCAAAGTTCCTTCACCAGCAAGAATTTGAGTATGAGGCTTACATGGCGTAGATGTAGATTTGCAAGTATCCATTCCTGCCTTTTGTAACAAATCCTTGGCATATTTAGCTTGGGAGATAAACAATGAACCATCATCTCTATATTGGATATGCAATCCCAGAAAATATGTTAACCTTCCTATATCCTTGAGTTCAAATACACCAGCAAGATCATCAATAACAGATTGAATTTTAGTAGGATCTGATCCAGTAAGAATGATGTCATCAACATACAATAAGAGCAAAATTATATCACTACCATCAATCTTGACAAAAAGACTAGAATCAGAAGAGGAGGATTGAAAACCAACAGCTGGAAGATAGCTTGTGAACTTTGAGTTCCAAGCGCGAGGGGCCTGTTTTAACCCATAAAGGGATGTGACCAATTTGCAAACATATCCAGGACAGGTAGCATCCACAAACCCTTGTGGTTGTCTTAATGACCAACTGAACTGAGTAGCTAAAGCCAAGATAAGCCTTACAGTGGTATGTCGAACCACTGGACTGAAAGTCTCTGAATAATCCACGCCTTGCTCCTGAGTATACCCCTGTGCTACCAAACGAGCTTTGAACCTAGATATGCTACCATCTGGATTTTTCTTAACCTTATACACCCATTTACTGCCAATAACAGACCTATGGGAAGGTGGTGGAACAAGTATCCAAGTGCCTTGAGACTTCAATGCATTGAACTCCTCCTGCATGGCAGTTTGCCATTCTGATGACAAGGAAGCAGCTTTAAATGTCCTAGGTTCTTCACAGGTTGAAATGTCAGCAATAAAGGAAAATCCCCCAGATACAGGCACACTCAAGGTGGTAGATGAACCATCAGAAGAGACATCATCAAGTTGTAAAGAACACAACTGAGGTAGAGAAACAAGACAACCCCACAAAGCTTTTCCTGGAAATAGCACCAGTTCTTAACCTGGTTTGGATACACTCCCTATTGATAGGTGTGGGGACCAAATTAGTAGTATGAGGAGGTGAGAGAGAGGGAATAAATTGCTGTTGGAGAGCAGGTGCAATGACAGGTAACACAGGAGTAGTAACTGGTGAAGAGGAGTGAACCAGAGATGTGTCAGACCCCTGAACTTCTGGCTCTGGGGATAAATGATCTTCTGATGGGGAAGTATTTGGAGAAAATAATTCGACACCTGACTGAGATAAAGACTGTTGAGAACCTGCAGAAGTTGTATTGTGCTGTGAAGAAGACACTGGTAAAGTAACAAGCATAGGTACAGGCCTTGATTGTTCCTGTTCCTCATGACAAGACATTCTTGCAGGGCTTGTATGTGAAAGCATTCTGGCAGGAAACAGAGATTCATCAAAATAGACATGCCTGGAAATAACCAACCTCTTGGTTTGCAAGTTATAACAAATCACTCCTTTGTATCCTTGGTAATAACCCAAAAATGCACACATCACTGATCTTGGTTGTAATTTGTTACTATTGTATGATCTGAGACACGGAAATACAGCAGAACCAAAAATCTTAAGGAATTGGATATCTGGTAGCTTCTTATATAAAGACAAGTATGGAGAGCTGAAACACAGGCTTTTGCAAGGCATGTTGTTAATGAGCCTAACTGAATGAGCACAAGCAAAGTACTAGAACACAGAAGGTAAGCCAGAAGCACTAAGAAGAGTGATTGCAATGTCCAAAATATGCCTATGTTTCCTTTCAGCAACTTCATTCTGCTGAGGAGTATAAGGACAAGAAATGAGTTGCATAATTCCTTTGGCACCAAGAAAGGAAGAAAACCTCTTGCTTGTATATTCACCTCCCCCATCTGTTTGCAAGGACTTAATTGGAATGCTAAACTGAGTCAAGACAAACTGATAGAATTGAACAAAGATTGTAAACACATCCGATTTATTACTCATTGGGAATATCCAAACAAATCTGGTATATTCATCAACAAATGTTACATAATACCTATAGCCCTCTATAGATCTTACAGGTGCTAGTCCCCAGACATCAGTATGTACTTTCTGAAAAGGAGATGTACACCTATCAGTTCTAACAGGAAATGGAAGCCTAGACATTTTGCCTTGAATACAAGAGATACAAGTATTGTGATTATCATCTGTTTGAACTGGAATATTCGATTGTTTCAACATGAAAGACATTACATCATGAGCTGGATGTCCTAATCTCTGATGCCAGACATTGTTCTTCACAACTTTTCCCAGATAAGCTGCTGGACACCTGGTGATATGCTGAGAACCCTTTGCACTTGTGACCACAGGAATCTGGAACAATTCATCAGGCCTATTCTTTCCCTGATACACTATCTCCCTTGTCTTCTTGTCCTGCGCAAAGAATGCAGACTCATCACATATAAACCAGCTGTTGTTATCTGCACATAACTGTTTCACAGATAGTATACTCCTAGCAATAGTAGGTACATGTAAAACTTTGTTAAGAATCAGGGAATGAGTAGGAGTCCGAAGCTTAGTAGATCCAATATGTTTAATTGGAAGACCAGTACCATTCCCAATTGTTATGTTCTCAGATCCCTCAAAGGGTTTTACTTGAGAAAGAGCACTAATGTCAGAAGTTATATGATGTGACGCACTAGAATCAACAATCCAGGTATCTTGAGGAAAAGAGTGAGGGGACTGTTGTGCATTCATTGCAA